TCTATCTATCTATCTATCTATCTATCTATCTATCTATCTATCTATCTATCTATCTATTCATCTATCTATCCACCATCATCTATCTATCTATCTATCTATCTATCTATCTATCTATCTATCTATCTATCTAATTATTAAGTGTTGTACCAGAAGTTTCTTGACGAAAGTATCTTTTCTTTTATGTGCACTGAGAGCATTTGCACCAAGACAAATTCCTTGTGTATCCAACCACACTTGGCCAATAAAGAATTCAATTCAATTCAGTTCAGTTCTAATGTTGGAGACCCTTACCTCTCCCATTCTGCACAAGTGGCAGTCCAGCCTCTTCTTCAAAGCCTCCAGTGTTGGAGCAGCCACAACTTCTAGTGGCCAGCTGTTCCCCTGATTGATCTTCCTTCCTGTCAGGAAGTTTCTCCATAGTTCCAGGTTGCTCCTCTCCTTGAGGAGTTTCCATCCATTGGACGTCTACGGAGATCCTCAGTCCTCCAGGTCATGGATGTCCCAAAGGTGGTTCTGCAAGAGGTTCTCCAGAAGGTCCAGTTGCCTCCTGCAAAAGCCCCTTTGGGATTTCCACCCGTCGCTTCTTGTCCTGCCTTCAGGGGCTCATTGGAGAATAGGGGGAGCCCCTCTTCTTTGGGGCAGCCCCCCAAATATTGGAATGTTGCTGTCAGGTTCGTCCCCTGGTCCTTCTTTGCAGTAAACCAGTCCAGGGGTCTCCCACCGTGGCCACTTTAAGACTGGTGGACTTCAATTCTCAGAGTCCCTCTGGGAGTTGAGGTCCCCAAGTGTGAAAGTGGCCAAGGTGGGAGACCCCTGGACTAGACATCCCCAGTTCCTGCAACGGTTCATCGTATGTTTTTGCCTCCAGTCCCCTAATTCTCCATGCCAATTCACCATTAGTTGTCAGTCCTGACCCTTGGTGTGGGGCCAGGAAGTGCCCTGGGCTGTTCACCCAAGCAGCGTGTTAAGGTAATGAAGATTTAACAGCTGACCAGCTGCTGGAAGGCTGTAAGCCATGGTGACGAACTGAGGATGAGTCAGCAGGGTACTGCCGCTTTAAGAAGCTGTCTATATAAGGGAGGCCATGTGAGGGTCTCTCTCTCTCTCTCTCTCTCTCTCTCTCCTCGTGTTCTACCTCCATTGTAGTTCTCCATGTAAAGTTGGAGATTGATTGCTTGCCTGGTATTTGCCTAACATGTGTGTGTCTGTATATAGCTGTCTTGTATATAAACCATTGTTAAAAGACGAAGCCTCTGTGTGTTGTGTTGTGCTCCTGGGTTGTGTCTCACCTAGTCAGGCTGTGCACACTCTGACAGCGCAGCTGGGCAGACTCTCCCTCCTCTCCCTCCTCCCTCCTCCAGGCTCCTGATGGGCTTCATGGGTGTCACGGCCTTCCTCTCCATGTGGATCAGCAACACGGCCACCACAGCCATGATGGTGCCCATCGCCCAGGCCGTCCTGCAGCAGCTGCAGAAGTCGGAGCTGGAGCAGACCGCTGCGGAGCAGGGGGCCACCCAGAATGGGACCATCAACCGGGCCTTTGAGATGCAGGAGGCCCCCCCGCAGCAAGGTAGGCCTCCCGCTGGCACTCCAGGCTTCCTCCCGGCTTGCAGGGGATCCCAGAGGAACGCCGGGCCAAGACGGGCAGGTCTTGGTTTGGCTGAGGCCTCCTGACACTTAGATTAACAGAGTTGGAAGGGGCCTTGGAGGTCATCTAGTCCAACCCCCTGTCCAAGCAGGAGACCCTACACCATTTCTGACTGAGGGTAGTCCAGTCTCTTCTTGAAAGCCTCCAGGGATGAAGCTCCCACAACTTCTGAAGGCAACTTCTGTTCCATCAGTTGATTGCTCTCACTGATGGAAAATTCCTCCTTATTTCCAGGTTGAATCTCTCCTTGATCAGTTTCCACCCATTGTTCCTTGTCTGGCCTTTGGGTGCCTTGGAGAATAGCTTGACCCCCTTCCTCCTCTCTGGGGCAGCCCCTCAAATATTGGAAGACCGCTATCCTGTCTCCCCTGGTCCTTCTCTTCCCTGGACTAGCCAGGCCTGGTTCCTGCAACCGTTCTTTGTTTTAGCCTCCAATCCCCTCATCCTCCTGGTTGCTCTTCTCTGCCCTTTTTTTCTAGAATCTCAAAATATTTTTTATAGTGTGGTGGCCAAAACTGGACGCAGTACTCCAGGTGTGGTCTTACTAAGGGTAGACAGACAGACAGACAGATAGACATGTTATAGATCAGAGGTGGGATTCAGCAGGTTCTGACCAGTTCTGGAGAACCGGTAGTGGAAATTTTGAGTAGTTCAAAGAACTGGCAAATACCACCTCTAACTGGCGATTCTGCAGTATCGTTTCCCTAAAGATAGATAGAGACAGACAGAGG